CCTGCTTCTCTGATGCTGCCTGGCCTGCTGTGTTCATCCAGCTCCACACTGTGTTACCTCATGCATAAAACTGAACTGTTTGTTTGTTTAGTGGCTGTCTTTGCCATCCAAGTGCTTCCAGGTAGTGCCAACCCATGACTGCCTGCCAGGATTGAACTGGCCTGAACTATCGGCAACTGGTTTTGAACTGGTCTCAGACAGATTCTACTGGAGATAACCAATCTACTGGTAACTCTACTGGAATCATCAGAAATTCTGCCGGGGCTCCCAGTGGCTGAGTGAGCTCTAGTGCTTTGCAGCTTGAACCAATTGTTTACCAAAACCAGTACGCCAGTCAAAACCATCACATTCCAACCCCTCTGCAGCCATCTAGTCATGAGTCGGGCCTCTCCACCTCCACTTTCCCTCTTTCACTCCCTTGGTCTCTTCCCTCCCCAGTCTCCACTTTCCCTCCTCCTGCACTGGCCACAGTTGATTTTGTGCTGCCTCTTCTCATGATTTGGACGTGTTCTCTTAATGAAAACTGTTTGAGGGGTTATGTTTGTTGTCTCATTGATTTTTACTTTTCTTTTGTGCAGAAGCAAAATTGCAAGAATCTCACAGGTGACAATTTCAGTGGAGAGTTGCACGTTTTGAAAAGTATATCTGATCTTAATTGGGTTCTTGAGAATAAACTCGGTACATGTACAGACTAATACATCAAGATTTTTTCCATATCAGAAAGATGAAATACAATAAAAAAAACAATTTCACGTTGTCAATCACAGGCTTTGTTTCATCTTTATTCCATGAATATTCACTGGGATTGGATTTGTTCTTGTACTCACTGGGCATTTTGCCACTTTCTCTGGGGCTATACAGCCCAGCCAGCCAAATCTACTACCAGTTGGTGGTAAACTGTCCTGTTTCTGCAGATGGCCTTGCAAGGTGAGCTCCTGCAACTCTTGAGGGGCCGACATGATGCTGCACCATCTCACCATGAGGTGGCAGTAGCAGTCTAGGCTGGCTAACAGGCAAATGACCGGGCACCTGGCAGAGTGGCAAGACTGGGAGTCACAAATGCTGTCCTTCTGAGAGAGGGAGACATTGCTGCACTCCAGGACTGCATCCCCACCAAACGTTATCATCTGCCCTCAGGCCCCTTGGAGTATTGAGATTCACAGCCATAACCGTAACAGTCTGAGCCTGAATGGTAGTAACAGAACCCTTAGCAGCTCAATCTGACCTTTACCCCCTGTGTCTCAATCTGACCTTTACCCCCTGTGTCTCAGTCTGACCTTTACCCCCTGTGTCTCAGTCTGACCTTTACCCTCTGTGTCTCAGTCTGAGTTTTCACCATGGCATTAAGATTCCAGGAAGGATTCACTTAGACTGTGCCCACCAAACACTGACATGCCAGTGCCCTCATACTGTTGGCCAGTGGGGTCAGTTAGCTCAGTTGGCTGGATGTCTGGTTTGTGATATAATCAAGTCTGGATGCCAACAGTGAGGGTTCAATTCCTGTAGTGGTCGAGGTCAACCTTGCCCCTCACTTTTTGGCATGGTGACTTTCAGGTTAAAGCCGCCCCCAGTTGTGCGTCTCTCTCTCACATTAAAGAGGGGACCATCGGAAACTCTCACTTTCCATCTCAGGCTGAAAGAACAGCACTCACAGGCACAGGTTCAAGTTTAACAACGATTCAACAAAACCAGGGTGGAGGTTTCTTCTTATTGCTGCTGCATGCATTATCTGACCCTGTACTTCAGGTCAGGTGTCATCCTGTGAGGGAGAGCATTTCTTTTAATTTCTCACCCAAGAATCATGTAGTATCGTATACGGGAGCCCACATATACAATTAACAACATGATATCCTGCTCTCAGCAGAGCGAAAACATGTCTGCAATTATCCTGCTTGGTGTATGGAGCTGAGACTGACATAATTCCACAGAGACAAGTATCCCATCACCAAGCCATCCTTTGTTTACACATGAAAAGCCCCTGTCTCTAGTACGACCTCTTCAGAGTCAGCTCTCCGAGTGCCAGAACCTCTGACACTCCTGTTTTTATCTGTCAGCCAGGGGTACCTGATTGGACCAGGTCAACATCCCCAATCAGGGATCTCGTATTCTATGACCTCGGTACAAGCAGTAAATCCCTCCCCCTCTGGGTCTTAGGATATAGGTTGATATGGGTGACCATTTGCAAGGCTGACACTTTTTTAGAAGTTGATGCAAAGGTGCCAGGATGGAGGTTATGTATGAACTTTCCATAATAACTTACTCGCTCAAGAAATGACCTAAGCTCCTGGACACATGTGGAATCTGGGGCACCTTTGATTGCCAACACCTCATCTTCCAACCCATTCTTGTCAACTCTGCTGCCCAAGTAGGTCACTTGGGGTGCCTGGAACACACACATTTTCCCCCCTAAGGTGTGTGCCCACCTCGGAAAAATGCATTGGGACTTTATGCAAGTTCTTCAACAGCTCCTTATTTGTTTTCCCTGTTATAGGAACATCATCTACATAAATGACAACCTGAGGTAGACCTTGAAGCGACTAGATTTGGCTTTTGGGGCGAATGGGATAAAATATTACGGGGAGAAAGCAGGCTTAGGCTACTGAGTTGGACGATCAGCCATGATCGTGAAGAATGGCAGAGCAGGCTTGAAGGGCTGAATGGCCTCCTCCGGCTCCTATCTTCTATGTTTCTGTGCTTATGCTTGCAAAATGTTTTCCATTGTCCGCTGAAAAATTGAACATGCTGATGATACTCCAAATGGCAGTCTCATACATTGGTACAAGCCCTTATGCGCATTAGTTATAGCATGCTTCTGGGAATCCTCATCTAAATGCAATTGCAAGTGCGCATGGCTCATGCGCAGCTTCATGAGGGGCAAACCTTCCACCATCTTTACGTATAAATCCTTATTCGAGGGGTTGTGTATTTATCCAGCTCCCCACAAAAGGCAAACCAATCTGTCGGGCTTCAAAATCAGTACAACTGGTGCTGCCCACATTGATGATTCCTTCACTTTCCAGCCTTCTGACCTCTGCCTGTACTCTTGCCCATAAGGCAAATGGCAGTGAGAAGGCCTTGCAGAATTGCTTCCTGGTCAACATGCAAGGTTGGCTTGGCTTCTCTGATAGTCCCTAGACTTGATCATAGAATCCTCACAGTGTGGAAACAGGCCCTTTGGCCCAACAAGTCCACACTGAAGCTCAGAACATCCCACCCAGACCTATCCCCACCCCCCTCAACCAATCTACACATCCCTGAGCACTACAGGCAATTTAGCACAGCCAATCCACCTAACACGTATAGTCTTTGGATTGTGGGAGGAAATTGGAAGAAACCCATGCAGACAACATGCAAACTCCACACAGACAGTCTCCTGAGGGTGGAATCGAACCCGGGTCCCTGGTGCTGCGAGGCTGCAGTGCTAACCACTGGACCATCACCAAGTCATGTTTTATTTATACATGAAATGTCCTTGACTCTAGTACTGCATCTTCTGAGTCAGCTGTCAGGTTGCCAGAATCTCTAACAGTCCTGTTTGTGTCTGTCAGCCAGATCTCCTGATTAGACCAGGTTAACAGCTCCAATCAGTGAACTGATATACCATGACATACAGCTCACTGACCTCGTTCCACCACTGCAGATTCTATCCCTTACTATCTATACTGTTGATATATTTTGAGAGCAAACGTAACAGATCATTATTTAACTTACTCATTGATGAAGTGTAATTCTTCAATTTTGCAAATAAGTTCCCTACTTCACAAACCAGTAAAGTTTCTGTCATTTGTTCAGTATTTCAACTGCTTTCTTTCAACATAACTGTTTTCAAAGTCAAAATTTTGCATCAATCCCTTTTGAGAAAAATCACACTGTGTAAAACTTCCCTTTTAGGCACATGCATTGTGTTTTCAACTTGAAATCATATCTCTCACAAGCGGTTGCCCTGAACTGATCTCTAATTTCATGTTCTGTCAGTAGATCACACAAAATCATCATCTTGCTTTGGTGGTCTTCTCTCGCTCCAGGGTTTGCTGCTATCCAATTGGTATCTTCAGAGATTAATCCCTCTGGTCAACACATTAGGATTAGGAAGTGTGGTTGCTCTCTTTGGAGCTGATGCTTTTCCCTTTGGATAACCATTTGCTCTGCCTGCCACCAACATCGCTTGTTGGAAGTCAACTCCACATCAATCCCTTGGCCTGATTCACCAGCTGCTGCGTCTTTATCAGCATGATGGCTTTTTAACAGATGAGGAATTTCTATCATGTTGTCAGAATGTCATGGGAAATTGAGGGATAACAGGCTCGTAGTGTTGCAGCGTAGATCGCTGACCTTAGCTCATGAGGGTCACCTTGAGAGTGGTTTGTCCGAAGCAAATGGTACGAACCAATGTCAGTGGACACAGACGCAGCAGTTTGTCAAAACATGTCAGTAGGTCCAATCTACCGGAACCAATATATGTAACACACTGAACAACTGGATCTTGGGAGGATATAACAACTGACTTCTTAGGCCCACTTGTATCAGACCAGTCCACACTAGTGGAGAAATTTCTATTTGCATTGCCTCTCGACGTGCTCTTTTCTCGAAATTTATGACACACCTCTGGAGTAAGTGGGACATGATCCCAAGCCTCCTGACTTAGAGGTAGGGACACTACCATAGCACTACAAGGTCCTTTCTATTAGCCCCATGAATGATGGTATCATTTGAGATATTGGCTGTTCATGGAGCCCCTTGTACCACTGTATGCATTTTGTTTCCGTAAATCTCTGGCATCAGATTGATGCCAAACAGCTGTCTCTAGTATTGATAAACAATAAGGGGTTGGTTAGTTGGATGGCTGGTTTGTGATGCAGAGTGATGCTGACAGCATGGGTTCAATTCCTGTGACTGGCCGAGGTTACCATGAAGGTTACTCTCCTTCTCAACTTCTCCCCTTGCCTGAGGCGTGGTGACCCTCAGGTTAAACCACCACCAGTCATCTCTCTCCAATGAGAGAACAACAAAGTCCACAACGAGTTATAAAAGTTGACATTTTCTTTGAAATAGGATGAAGGACCAACTGGTGGTATCCCCTGTGTTTATGACTATTTTGGAAAATTCTTTGCTTGTTCAAAACTCTTGAAAGACTTAGCCTACAGTGGGAATTGGACAATGTTCTGTTTCATTCATCTGTCACATATTATCCCAGTGGCCTGCTGTCACCATTTGGTTAAGGCACTAACATAACAGAGCTCACCCATGGTGTTGGTCCTTCAATATGCTTCTTGATTTTTTGATCGATCAATATTTTGACCTTCGGCTCAGCTTTCCCTCTTAGACCAATAGATATTCCTGAATAGGCTGAACTATGGGCATCACCTTCTCGTCAATGGTTAATTTCACTAGGCGCTTGTGCAACTTCCTAACTCCTTGAAACACTGGTCCAATTCCGATGTAGGATCCATGTCAGATTTTACAGAGTTGACTTTCAATTGGATATGTAGCATCCCAAAGACGTTGGGATTTTCTCTGCTCAGAGGGTCACCATCCTCCTCAATCACTACATTTTCTGACTCTACATTCCAATCCTCAGCTCTCACATCCACTGTGAAGCACCCAAAGGTTTGATGTGCATTTTAGATGTGTTAGGCATGAGTTTTTTGACAAGGTATTAAGATCTGCAATTGATTCACTTATTTTTCAGTTCCTCCCACAGTGGTCCCCCAATGACATTACTGTCACTGCCTGAAGTTGTCCTCATTTCCTGCATCCTTTTCAAGTTCTCTCACATTTACAGCACTTTCACCTCTTTACTTAGCATGCTCTGCCTGGCTTGCCTCTCTGTTTAGCTTTGCTTCCACACTTCTTGACAAAATGATCTTTGGCCTCATATTTTTGCACATTCTTTTTCTATGGCATGATAGCGGGCACCCCTTCCACAGTCCCAGATTGCCAATCCAAAAGAGACCCTCTCAGACCTTTGCATTGACATGGACCTGGGTTTTACTGCACTGTTGTGCTAATTGGGATATCATGGTGGCCAAGCGGTTAGCACTGCTGCCCTACAGTACCAGATTCCAGCCTCGGGTGACTGTGTGGAGTTTGCACATTCTCCTCATGTCTGTGTGGGTTCCCTCTCTGGTTTCCTCCCACAGTCCAAAGAGGTGTAGGCTTTTTTGATTGGCCATGCTAAATTGCCCATGGTGTCCAGGGATGTGTAGGTTAGGTGGATTAGCACAGGGTGAGTATGGGTGGGATGATCTTTGGAGAGCTGGTGTGGATTTAATGGGCTGAATGGCCTGTTTCCACACTATAGGGATTCTACCTCAGCTTTAGTTGTTCTGATGTCAGAGATACAGTTGACAATGCTGTGAAATTGTTCACCCTCTGCTACTGCAGCTGTTATTTTCAAACCGCAATCCAATATTCCTCTTTCAGGCAACATAAACCTCAACCTGAGATAGTAGGAACTGCAGATGCTGGAGAATCCGAGACAACAAGGTGCAGGGCTGGATGAACACAGCAGGCCAAGCAGCATCATAGGAGCAGAAAGGCTGATGTTTCGGGCCTAGACCTTTGCAGTTCCTGCTATCTCTGATTCCATGTTGAATAAGATTTGATTATGATGCTTTCTGCCCCATTGTCGTCCTGTCCAAAGACAAACCACGACCATCAATAAATGTTGAACTCCTCCAGCCATACTTTCCATTTCACACTGACAACATAGATATTACTCAATTCACCAGACAGCTCCTTCCAAACCCATAACCACTACCATCTTGAAGGACAAGAACAGCTGATACACAGGGACACCACCACTTGTAATCTCCATTCCAAAGTCACTCACCATCCTGACTTGGAAATATATTGCTGTTCCCTCACTATCACTGGGTCAAAATCCTGGAACTCCCTCCGTTAGGGCATTGTGGGTCTACTGACTGGAGCGGTTCAAGAAGGCAGCTCACCACCACCTTCTCAAAGGCAGTGGGCACAGGCAATAAATGCTGTCCCAACAAGTCGTGTCCACCTCCCATTAATAAATTTACAAAAAACAAGTTGGAATGCCCCCTATTCTCCTCGACAGCGACACCGGCTGTCTGACGGGTTTGCTAATGCACCCAGAATCTCTGTGTATTTGTCCATCAACATTCCCCTGTAAAATGCCCCACCAAAAGGCTTAATTTGAGTGCAATGCAGCAGAACTGGTCAACAATCACTGAGGAGCTGGTTGACAATCACTGAGGAGCTGGATACGAATCTCTGAGGAGCTAGGACATGACCTGATTTCCCACTGCTCATGCTGTAGCCCATTCATGCCCAGTGTCCCAACACATGCTGCTCTTGATATTAGCGTCTTAGGCACACTTGGTGCCAGTATTTGAGCTTCTGTTTGTGATTATCAAACCAAGTGCTGTGACCCCTTCCTCGGATAACTGTTGCTGTTCTAGCCCTTCCTCATGACGCTTAAAGTGGTAGCGGGTGTCAGTTCTTGAGAGTCTGGCCACATAAATGTGGAAATGGATGGTTGGGCTGAGGGAATTGGGGCGGGTGGAGATTTGGACGTTCATGGACCCACCAAGTAGCTTGCAAAACAGAAGAATTAGGATGACGTGGGAGTTAGGAAGGCCATATAAGGGAGAAATATAGTTGAATGTTCTCAGTAATACTGACTGTAATAGACTCTGTCCCAGCCATCCTCATAATTTGGACCACCCTCTGCTCTAGACGCCTGAGGTAATTGCAGACAACCCCTTGCCCTTTTATATCCCACCTTTCCTTTTAAGAGAGAAAGATGGACGTCAGTGAGTGTAATCTATTTGGGTGATGTGCCTGCCGATGGATGAACCACTGGAGGTACCTGTAAGCAGCAAGCAGTGGCTGTGAGGCTGTGTAACTTTGGAGATTGTGTAAGGGTGAGGTGGAGCATCTGAATCTTAATTGTGAGTCCCTTTCACTGGCAGTCACTGTTAGGTCTGTGAAACATTGTGCGAGAGATTGGTCGGCAGCATATGTACCATGAAAATGCATTCACTGACTTTGGCCATCTGGCTGAGGTTATTGAATGTGTGACGCTGCTAGCAGTTCCTCAGGGTCACATTCCTAGATTTGCTGTAGCTGGATACCTGCTCAGACACTCTGGTGTGAGGGCGAGGGTGAAGGTCTCCTGAGAGAAACTTTGCACCTCTCCTTCCTTTCACATCCCGCGCAGCATCAGAAAACCTGGCAGCTTTCCCTGTTGCCCCTTAACAGTGTCTCGTTTCGCAGCCAGTTCCTGAGTAGATAGTCATCTGCAGCTTTTGTGTACAACTCCCTTATAAGAATGGAAGGTGATTCATATGTTGAACATCAGGCTGGCTGGCAGCATTTCCAGCCCTGGAATGCTTCATTGAAATGGGGAAGCAGCACAAAGGCTTAGGAATAGGCTAATTGTGAATTGAAACTCCAGCTATAAAAAAATGAGAGCATCTCCTCCCAAGTATTTTGACACAAATGAATCATCTTGTAACTACAATCAATTGCAGTCGAGGAGGAGTGAATGAATGGAGTTATTTTGCGTTTGTTTTGCAATATTTGGTGCATGAAATATAATTAGTGAAAAGAAGCTTTGAAGCGTATGACTGGGGTAATTCTTAGTCTTTGTTTTACAGAGAACATTCTGGGCATCGTGCTAGGAACTTTGCTCGCTGTGTTTTCCCTGGTTGTAATTGGAGTGATCTTATGTGTGAACGAAAAGCGTATGAAAATGTGAGTTATGTATTTTATGAAGCTCTTCGCTGTCATTTTCCATCTCTTGTTCTTTTTTTTCTCTCTTTTCTTTCCTCATTCTCTCCCTCTTCTGTCAAAGGAGTGACTCACACTGGGATACGCCCCTGTGGGCACCGCCCGCTTTCCAACCCCTCCTTCTCTTGGCACTTCTTTCTGCATCAAACTGAAACGTGCCAGTCATCGAGTCTCATAAACCCGATCTCATCCTCACTCAGCAACATAGTCAATTCATAGAGTGCCTTACAGTTATAAGGATAATTGGCTGAGGCCCAGACTGCTGTAAATGGTTTTACTTTCTTAAACACAGCTATGGAGAAAAGGAAGCTTTGGTGATTGACAGCTTTATGATGCTATAATATGTTATTTTCTCTGTGATCTCTTTTGTTTTTAGCTCAATGTTTATTTGCACAAGATAAAGAGGTGTTAGCTGCTTATGGCTTCTGTTATTGAAATTTTAACATTCTGGTTGATTGACATTTTTTGGGGTTGTAGCATTGGCGTTTTTTAAAAATCAAATGATGAATCAGTATGTTTTTTAAAGCAGTTGTGCACATGCTATTGTTACAATTTTCATTGGTTCTATACAGAGTACCCACTGGGTGAAAGGGCATGGAAGTGCCATTGGTTGCCATGTAAGGCATGGGTTGACATGGAAGTGGCACAGGCAATGAATGGATAATGTGAGAGGTGAGCCCCTAAAATATAAGCTAACATGAGGGAAGAAAGCCCAGAGAACTGAAGAAGCCCTTTTGAACAGCACAGCACATTTGCATGATCCTATGGTCACTTCCATGGGTGACAGATCCAACACTATTCTGCACACACCTCCCTCAGAATGGAAATTGTGTCTGAAGGGTCACTTTCCGCATGGTTGGAATTTCCCGGCCGAGCTATCTGCCTCAATAGTGAAAATCTAGCCCTTGCTGTTTTCTCTGGTGCAATGGTCCAGAACAAAGGGGAATAGTCTTAAAATTAGAGCAAAGGTGTTTGGGAATCCTGTCAGAGAGTACTTCTTTACATGGGTAGAATGTCCTTGCCTGAAATGTCACACACTAGCTTCATCGATACATTTTTGTTAGGGAGGAATCTTCTTACACATTCCAAAGATAAATGGAGATAATATAGATAAGCCATGAACAGCAGTGTAGACTTGAAGGGCTGAACGACCTTCTATGTCTGTGGACACAAGCGACTTGGAAGATGATTTAGTGTGAAATGTCCGACTGTTTCGGTTCTCCTTCGCTCATTTGGAGGAAACCTTAACATTCCTAGTTTTAAAAAGAAATTCTTCCGTAGGATAAAGAATCACTAGCAAGGCCAGCATTTATTGCCCAGCCCCAATTTCCTGAACTGTGTAGCTTGTTAAGCCATTTCAGAGGATATTTTGAAGCCCACTAAATTGTGGTTGAGATTAGCTGCTGTGAATGATAGAGCCTGAGGCCTTCATGTGCTGTGAAGCTCAACAATTTACTGAGCCAGCATAGTTACCAATAAACCCACTAAGGGAGCTATTTAATGCTTATTTAATGGTAGAATTGAAAAAGCAGAAGCGTTTTTAATGTTGTGATTGTCAACAGAGACTGCCTTAAGTCAATGATCTGTTGGCAAGCATCTTGCATTAGTTATAGATCCGGAGCATGCTTCAATTAATATTTTGTATTTTAATGTGTTCAAACACAAAACAAACCCCCCATCACAATTTGTTCTCATAATTTTTCTGGGAAAGTGGCATCAGAAGACTTCATGCTGTAATTAATTAACCTCTTGTTATAGGGATCTGCGTTGATACCTTCCAGAGAAGGAGCGATAAAAAGATGCAAAAAGCTCTTATTGATAATTATTTGAACAGCTCTTCTGAATGTTGGACAGGGGGAACAGCATGAAAAAGACAATCTAGTCTGTTGTCAATATTGGCCACACACTTTTCCAATAAGGTCAATGGAGAGTGAGACACTTACTTGATTTTACAAAAAATAAACCCATCACCTTTGGGCACTGAGGCCTCCATCCCTCCCCTTCATAGATTCATACAGGGCGGAAGAGGATCTTCAGCCCTCGAGGTTGCACTGACATAACCACCACTAAAAGTGCGCTAATCCCAATTTCCTGCATTTGTCCCATATCCTTGGCTAAGATTGACACTGAACATGAGACTACCGCGTGTGAATGGCTGGGCAGGTTGACTATGACTGTACCCAATAGGCTATTCCTCCACACCACCAGTGGGAAACAAGGGGCAGATCTGTTTCTTTTTGTGCTTGGGCACTGTGAGTAGAGCACAGAAAGAAAAAACTGAATGTGAAGGACCTCGTGACGAATGAATTTTCACTTGTCTTTCTTTTAAAATTGCTGGTACTGGGGAAAGCAAATGAAATGTTAGCCAGTATTTCAAAGGGAATGGAGTATAAAAGTAGGGATCTCTTGCTAAAACTGTGCAAGGCACGACTCAGAACACAATTCAGCATTCTAGCTGTAATTTTAAGGTTACACTGCCTTGTTCTGGGCTCCTTCACATAGGGAATAACTTGCCTTTATCAATGATATTAAATGATCTTCTCAAAGTGAAGGAACACTGGGCGTTGGGCCAGAGGAAGGTTTGCTTGGAGTGCAAGGCATATCTTGTTTTAAATAGAAGTGGTGTAGAATTTCTCTCCATGGTATATGTTTAGAACTTCCTTCCACAAATGGCAGTGGATGCTGGATCAGTTATTAATTTTAAATCTGAAGTAGATCATTTTTTTGTTAAGCAAAAGTTTTAAGAGATATGAGCCAAAGGCAGGTCTATGGAGCTAAGTCACAGATCGGCCATGATCTCATTGAATGATGGAACAGGTTTGAGGGGCTGAATGGCCTACTCCTGTTCCTATGTTTTGCACTCAGAAGACGATTGTGCCTTATTCTGGATTGTAGTCAGTGGATGGATACATTACATACTAAGCTGTCAATTTGATATCAGCCAAAGTTAAAATAACAGCCCCCATCTCTGTTCAATGTCAATAGAAACAGCACCAAAATAAAACAAAACAACACTAGGGGATGAATTTTAGTGGAAAGCCTTCTGGAAAGGCAGGGTGCAAATTTCCACTGGCGATTTTTCCCCATCTAACTTCGCCAGAGAAGCAGCAGAAACCTGGAATAACAAAGACTCACCCCTCAATGTTGAATGATTCCAGGGAGAAATTATCTCTGTGAAGAATTAAATTTACAGTTTTGATGGTCAGAGCTTAAGAAGTTTGCTACATAAGACTGGCAGCAACTTTGGCATCTGCACATGCTCAATTAAGTGTGGAAATCCAGAAGGTGCTGTTTGTGACACATAGCTCCTCCACAGTGTACGTTGGTTCAGTCTTCACAAATCCAACCATCACAGAGGCCTGGATTTTTCCTCTCAACTTCCTAGCCACAAAAACCTGATTTTTGAAAATGGCTGCGAATCAAATGGATGAGGAGCGTGGCTGGGTGGGGCAAGATGGATGACATTGGAAGAACTGTTCTGAGAATGGAGGTCGGTTGTCTGGTGGTCTGCTTCAGGGATCCAGCATTCTGATCAACATTTAAAAATAAATAATAAGGGGTGAAAGAACTTTCAGTTCTCATGGCACCCATTCCCTTGCATCCATTGTCCCTTGACAAGTCGTGACCCCTTCATATCCCAAAATGCTTTGTAGCCCCGAAGCCAACTTAATGCCAGCTAGAGAACCTTTCTCTCTTAGCAAAAATTCAAACCAGATGATTTGACGTGAACATCAACCTTTTGCACACTTGACTGGCTATTGAATGAAGACATTAAGCATTACTTAGTCAGGAGGAGCTGATTTATAACAGCCATACTAAATCATAATAACAGATGAATAACCTGTCTGGCCCTAAAAAACTAATCTTCTAAATGCAAAGTATCACTCAACATCAGAAGAACATTGGATAATTTAAAAGTCGTAAATATTTTTTACTTTATTCTCTAAAGGTTGTTATTCATGTTCCAGTTTCTCCTTTAGTCCCACTTGTTAGTCCCAATCTTCATTTCATTTTCTGTTTAATAATAAAAATGCTAAAGCCCAAAACTTTAGGTTCCTGCTTGGTTATCTATATGAATTCTGCAATCTAATTGATCTGCTTCCTACCCTGTTGGTGGAGATTGGTGACTCGATTAGCTTCAGGCAGAACTCAGTGGTCCTGGGTTGGCATCAAGGAAGTTTAAAGATGTAAACGGACAATTTCTCTGTTCTTAGAGTCATAGAGAAGTACAGCATGGAAACAAACCCTTTGGTCCAAATCCGACCAGATATCTGAAGATGGCAGCCACAAATTTGAGATCTTTCTAACAAATCACTGTCCAATGCACAAAACAAAAAGCAGAGGAGGCAGTGTGAAACATGCAGGTTTTCTGGAGGGAGAGTGACCCACTTGGGGGTCTTGCTTCTTCATCTTTTCGTGTGCTTCTCTTGGTCAGCAGAGAGAACTGGTGCTTCAGCATGCAAAGCACTGTCAGGCTTATTCATGATCCTTTCTCTCCAAATGCCCAGTTACCCCAAATTTAATCATGGTTCAGTTGATTCTAAGAGCGTAGCTTACGTGATCAGACTATACCTGCGGCTATTCCTTTCATAGCCAGAGTGCCATTGTCCAAGTGTTTAGTATCATGGTTTGTATCCATGCAGTTGAATTTGCAGTTGAATAATGGCCTGCCTGTTGTGTAATGGAGAAGGTCCTTCCTTATGGCAGATGTTCCTGGTGAGGCCTTGCAGACAGTTTGCTTCCATTTCATTGGCTTTGGAATATAGAAGGTAGAGTGATGCAAACATTGGGCCACCTTTGAAAGCGACTTCAAATCCTTGGAAAATGCTTTGAGTCCTTTCTTCAAATCAGTTAATGGCTTTCAGCCAGTAAAGTAATTTTCTCATGGAGCACGGCATCCTGATAATGAGTATCAGAGATGTCTACTTCTGAATTATGGAATTATAGTTTCCATGGGAGACCGT